AAAAATGAGGTTAAATATATCGTATATATTTAGCGCATTCCCTGAATTCAAACACTTTGAACTCACTCGTCATACTGTTCTATGGTTTAGTTCGATATGAGCTAGAAGGGGGACCTAATGGACCTATAGATCATGGGCTCCAACGATCTGAGATTAACCGACTAAACTCATTAACCTTGTTAACCAACATTCGTTAACTACTAGGACACTCCACTATAGCCTAGTAGTTGCATTCCCTTTACTATAGATATATTTCAGTCCATTTGATATACCCATGATTAGTAAGTCGATCCTTCACAGGTTGTTCGTAACTAGAGCTGGGCCAATTTACCGTTTTAAACCTTGAAGTTACTTCTTGTTCCTTATGTTCCACTGATCCTTTAATGAACAATTGATTTGTGGTCCAACAGTAAACCGAATCCCTCTCAGGCCAATGAGAGGGTGGGGCCATTTGTTCAAGACCTAGAGTCAGTACTTAAGGGAACTACCTCTCTACTATCCCTAAAAGTGGGTAGGAGTGTATTCCATTTTGCACCCCACGTCCCCAGCCATTCACCCAGTCTTACTTCTGAAATGGGAGGCCTATTGAGTCGGCGAACTCGAGCCACTCTCACCCATGTAAATCAAAGGATAATTCCAAAAACAAGAGTTCATGGTTAGCTTAGAATTAAGATCGAGTTACCTAGGTCATCGAAGGAAAAAATTAGTCTCAACATTAAACGATATTATAAAGTGAGAGTGATTTTCTTCATAGTCTGATCTTATGCATTACTCATTGCATAGGATGCTCCCACTCACATGTCTCCGCATGTACAATATAGTGATCATATTGTTTATATCATATACAAAAGTGGGCCGCATCCATCGTATCCCCAGAATAAGGTACTCAGCCTTATCCCTGTACTATAGATCATTTTGACTCTATACTTTAACTTGATTCACTCTTGTTAATAGAAATTACAAAACATTATAGAAGTAATCACCATGCATGACACTTGAAAGTGGGCTTGAAAATCTATTAAAAGTAACTAAAATCAAGAACAAAGTTCAACAACATATCTATTTAATCTCTCTTGGTCAAACCTTCCTCTTGTTGATTTTTTCATTGCTCTGTCTTTATTTTTGGACAGTAGTGACACTTTGCATAATTTTGTTTAATTAGTTTTAAATCATCAAAAATAATTTGAATAAGACAATAAATTCAGTGAATTTCCATAAACAAAATTAACAAAAAAAAAAAATAGGTTATTTGTGCATACTTGCATTTTTTCTTGTGAATTTTACACCAATTTATTATATACATTCATGAGCTATCACACACCCACGCAATGCCAAGACACAAAAATTGCTAAGAACAAAGGACCAAGACTCCGAAACCAAAGAAACCCCTAAACTTCCCACGGTAAACCATATTCATGATTCAAACTATGATTAGGATTAAAATCAAATCACATATGATTAACTTGTGAAATATTAATCTTCTCTGGCCTTCCCTCTAAAGTCTACAAAGTAGTAAAATAAGTTTAAAGTAATGCATAAGTGGCACTTTGTGTAGCGAACCTATTTTTCCTTTAAAAAATAAAGTCATTATAACATGCATGAAATGCCTAATATGTACAAAAATAAAATAAAAATCTTTAAAATAATATAATAAAATGTTGCCACGGACTAAAACGTTCATAAAATTTATTTAAACTAACAATTGATTTAAGAAAACAACAAAATCAAAATCAAACGAAAAAGAAAATCAAACGCCCTAATCCAACCTAAGAACTACAACATATAATGCAAATGCGACTACTCTAACTTTATTTCCATGACCTCTACAAAGATGTTGCCATCCGTACATGGGTGCGTTGCCAATACGTGGAGAAAAAGTAGCATGTGCCTTGAGTATTTAAATGTACTAAGTAATTAGCCCAACTGTTGACGTCGGAAAATACAATCACATGCAATCATAGTGGGACCTATCTTTTCATAAAACTTTTCCCTTGTCTCTACTTTCCAGTCCATGTAGGATTGTTTGTGTAATACTTTTCTATACATGAATCATGCACGTGAACATGGAACGACTAGACTAGCTCAGATATGTACCCCGAGCTTCACTACAGGCTTGCATAAGCTCACACTGTCGAAAGCCACAGAGGGAAAGGAGCGTGTATAATATCATGGTCTACGCGTCTGTACTAATCAAATGGGGATGTATCTCAATACATGTGACATTTGTTTCAAATCATGGTACATATTGGAATTTATGCCCTAAAGCCTCGTAATTAATTATTTAATTTTTAATAATAATTTTGATTATTTTAATTAATTTAATATGGTATGAAAAATCAAATGTTATTAATGTAATCCTGAACCATATATGGTTTACATACCAGAGGATAATGTTCAAGTAATAACCTAAAGGGTCTATAGTATAGGGATAAGGCTGGGTGCCTTAACCTAGTAACACTATTGATATGACCCACTTTGTAATTGTTACAAATTGTTTGAGCTAAATCGTTCATGTGGAGACATGTGAGTGGGGGTATCTTATACAATGAGTTTCTATAAGAATTGATCATGAAATATTTAATATCTTTTAATAGTTCGTTAATGAAGAAGATTAATATTTCACAAGATGACCATATGTGGCTCAATATTAACTCTGAGTGAGTTATGAACTCCTATCTGCTAGGGTTTGTCCTTTGATGTGCATAGGCCAGAATGACTTTTGTAGTTGAATCAATATGCTTGCAATTTTAAAGAGAACTTGGAATATAATTTCAAAGAGAAAATTTCCTTCTTCCTATATAGGGTACATAGTTGAGTAGTTTCCTTAAGTTCTAATTTCGAGACACAAACAATGGGGACATATACTCTCACTTGACCGAGACGAACTTTGTTTATTATTAGATCATAAAAAAATTGTTCATTAGAGATATAATCATAGGAGTAAAATGGGGTTTTGACACAGCTATAATTACAAACAACTCGTGACGGGACAACTTGCTTGTAATGATTATATCAATGGATATAAGTTATCCTATAGTGCATATGCAGCTTTAAGTTTATGGTGGAGTGACCTACCGTTATTGAATGAAAATTGATTAATTAAAGTGTTTAATTACTTAACTATAAAATCTTATAATCTATTGGTCCATAAGATCCCCATACTAAAACTAAAAAGTTCAATTTAGTTGAAACAAAAATGAGAAGTGTTCCCATGAATATTTAATATATCCAACAAATTAAATATTTGTGGAGAAAATATATTATAATTTGAAGGGTACAAATTAATATAATATTTTAGATATATTAAATGAAAAGTATATTCTCAGGGTTCAAATTGAAATTTAATATATTATATATATTAAAGATAGATGAGAAAAATTATATTTATTTAATTTGATATATGAAATATTAAATATATGATGTATAGTTCTTGTCCTTGTCCTTATCATTAGTTTTGTCCGTGGTTATTGTTCTTTGTTCTTAGTTCTTGTTCTTGCTCTTGCTCTTGCTTCATGTGTTCAAAGTGAGACAGTCGTAACCTATGTACAAGGTTTCCTGCATTTCAAGTGATGGAGTTTGAACATGCATCCAGGGTTTCATGCATTCCTTGTGATACAGTCTGAAACCAATATCCAAGGCTTCTGACATTTCAAGCGGTGTAGTGTAAAAACTGCATCTATGGTTTCAAATGTTCTTAGCAGCATAGTTTGAAAACCTATGCTCAAGGCTTCATATGCTCTAAGCAACGTAGTCTAAAACTTGTCCTGATCTCCACTCCTTGTGTCTTCTTGAAACTTTATGGCTTTTTCCTAATTCTTTCAATTTCAAGCTAGCGCTCAATGGTAGACACATATGAAGATATAGGAAGATTTTAAGGACACTTATAATGAGTAACGACTCCTCCAAAACTATTAGACTTCCCTAGAATTTGTGACATACGCGGACACTCAGATTTATGTGCAGAAGGCGAATTGACGAGTTGGACCTTGGAGACTAGAAAATGAGACCCTAAGTACACCCTGAAATCCACATACACTTCGAAGGGTTACTTACACCATTGGAATAGGAATATGTAGGGTATATGGACCTTAAGCATCTAAAAGGGCTACAAATGAACCAAAGTCACGAATTTTGCCAACTTTAGGGTGCTTACTTATACATAAGTTAAGAAACATAATTTTGATAAGAGCCTACAAGTAGGTGCTTACTTAGTAATTTTATACTTATTCTTGCTATTGTTTGTTTATAGATGAACCGTATATTGCCACTTGACGATGAGAGTGTGTGGAGCCATGCAACTGTAGGGAACTTTTTAATCTGAGTCATTCAATTTTTATGTTATTTTTAATAATACTTTAATGTCACTCACTCGAAACTCATGTTATTTTGTAAATTGTTCTGCCTTAAGCTCTCCACACATGATTTGCACTTTTAACACTTTTTATGTTCACTTTAATTTTTTCATGTTTTCTATTTTAAAAAATTAAAAATTTATACGTCCATTCGTACTTCTGAGTCTACCGTAACCCAAAAAGAGCTCAAAATTTAAATAACAGAAACAAAATAATATCAACTATAAACCAACAAAATAATATCTAACCTAAGTGCTACAATTTAAAGAAGATACAATTACCCTTGCTTCAATTCCATGACCTTCACAGATAAAATGGATCAAAGTTGCAATGCTTTATTATTGTTTTCTAACTCCATGCTTAAAGGGTTACACAATTCAAATGTACTATCAATCTTCTAAAATCTAAAATCTTGGTACTTTGAATATTTGAATCATATCTCAACTACTTTAAATCATATCTTCATTTTGAATACTTTGAATCATATCTCAACACTCCCCCTTGATTCAAAGTTGCACAAGTCAAGTACAAGCTTTTCTTTTGACAAGGCCTTCGTAAGTATGTCTGCTTTAACCCGTCTAATGTCTGTCTCAACTTGTATACCTTCATTTCTTTGTCTTCCTCTATGAATCCCTTTGGCGGTGTTACATAAACCTCTTCTTGTAAATCTCCATCAAATTGATAAACATGCCACCGCAATGGGCTGCATGTCCCATGTAAATCTCCATAGAACTTTTCATTTAGCAAGTCAACCGTATCTCATGTTCCATTTTTCTTAACGAACTGCATCTCTACTGCCATGGATTTCTTCAGTTTTTCTTTTTCAGTTGCTTCTTCATAATTCATAGAGTCTGAAATAGTAAGAGCAAATTGACATGATGCATATATGTTAGCTAAAGATTTATACTTCCTTGGAGGTGTCTCATCCGAAAGTTCTTCAAGAGAAGAATCGTTGTTTAGTGATGCTGAAAATGATGAATTTGACACATTTTGTGTTGCAGTGGAAGCACTAGGAGATGCACTGGAGTTGACACTTGTCTCTTCATTTGAAAAAACTTCAACTGTAATCTTCTGTTGCTCCTGTTTTTTACTCCAATCCCAACTCACGTTTTCATTAAATATTACATCCCTCCTAACTAAAATATTTTCACTAAGGGGTTGTATAATTTATATGCCTTCGATTGAGTACAATAACCAATGAAAATGTATTTTTCAGATTTTTCATCAAGCTTTTGACGAGTTTGAGAATGTTTCAAAGCATAAGCAACACAACCAAACATTCGTAAATGATTTACAGATGGTTTCCTTCCATGCCATGCTTCATAAGGAGTTCGATTCATAACCGTCTTTATTGGTGAGAGGTTTAATAGATAAACAGATGTTGCTACAGCTTCTACCCAAAATTGGTTTGGAAGTCTCCTTGCTTATAACATACTTCTTGCCATCTCCACAATAGTTCAATTTTTTCGTTCAGCGATTCCATTTTGTTCTGGAGTGTAGGGAGCTGTTAACTCCCTTTGGATGCCCTCTTCTTCACAAAACAGATTGAACTCTTCAGATATGAACTCGCCACCTCTATCTGTGCGAAGAACTTTAATGTAACAGGCACTTTGGTTCTCCACCATAGCTTCAAATATCTGGTACTTCTAAAAATTTTCTGACTTATGTTGTAGAAAGTAAACCTAGCTCATGCTACTATAATCATCAATGAATAGTCAAAAGTATATACTCCCACCTAAGAACTTCGTTTGCATTGGCCCACATAATTCAACGTGAATTAGTTTTAAACAATGTGAAGCTTTTTTCGTTTTTCCAATAGGAAATGACTTCCTAGTCTGCTTGCGATAAATGCATCCTTCACATAAATTAGTTGAGTCAATTCTTGGTAATCCGAAAGCCATACCTTTGTTGACTCTGGCAATTCTGAGGAAAATGTTGACAAAAAAACTGGTCGAAGGTTTCTTTGAAAGAAAAAATAGCATCAGTAAAAGGAGAGAGGGAGAGAGATTTGATGAAGACTCGATGTTTTATTTCTCTTCAGTTGAATTCTTTAAATAACAAATCTAATTACAAAAATAGAAAAACTAATTACAAAAAATAGAAAAGTGGGCGAAGACTTCGCCCAAGTTTGCCAAAAATTGCACCAAGAATTACGCTATTCCATTGGCGTGAATTCAGAAGTTTTGAGACGTCAAAACAACCTAACTGAATAAGGAACATAGCTTTTATTTAACAATCTCCTCCTAAAAACTATGCTATATCTACCTTATTATTTGAACTCTGATCTTTGAGCGTAGTTCTTCAAATTTTACCCGCGTCAGGGACTTGGTGAAAATGTCTTTAAGTTGTTTCTCTATTCGGATGAAATCAATCTTGATGAACCCTCGATCTGCACATTCTCGAATGTTGTGGAATCTGATTTCTATGTGCTTACTCCGGTCGTGCAAAATTGGATTTTTGATCAGGGAGATCGAAGCTTTGTTGTCTACGTATAGCATTGGTGGACCGCTTTCTCTCCCGATGAGTTCTTCCATTAGTCGCGCAAGTCAGACCCCTTGTGTTGCTGCCATCGAAGCGACGATGTATTCTGCTTCAAAGGAAGATAAAACAACTACCTTCTGTTTTATTGATCGCCAGCAGATTGCACCGCCTGAGAGAAAGTAGACCATTCCGCTTGTGCTCTTATGATCATCAACGTCACCGGCCATGTCACTATCGCTGTAGCTGACCAGCTTGAGTTTCTCCTTTCCTCTCCCTGCGCAATATCTTACACCCCAGCCTCTGGTTCCGGCTACATAGCGCAGGATGCGCTTGTCAGCCATTGGATGCTCCTCCCTAGGTGCTTCCATAAACCTGCTCACATATCCAACATAATAAGCAAGATCAGGACGAGAGTTTACCAAATAGCGCAGACTCCCAACAATGTTGCGGTAATTGGTGGAGTCAACTGTCGTCATAATGTCGACCTTCCTTAGTTGGAGCCGGGCCTCCATTGGCGTCCTTGTAGGATTACTGTTCACAAGCCTAGTTGTGTTCAGCAGCTTCTTTGCGTATGCACTTTGGCAGATGGAGATGCCGGTAGAGTTCTGTTGCACTTCGATGCCGAGGTAATAGCTGAGCATGCCAAGATCGCTCATCTCGAAGTTCTTTGACATCTCCTTCTTGAACCTTCCGAGGAATTCCACGTCGCCTCTAGTGATTATGAGGTCGTCGACATACACTCCCACGATCAGTCGCTGCTTGCCATGGTCGTGCATGTACATGCCATACTCAGAGGCACAGCGCTTGAATTTCAGTGACAGTAGGGTACTGTCAAGCTTCGCATTCCAGGCTCGTGGGGCTTGTCGAAGCCCGTAGAGTGCTTTGTGCAGAAGCAGTACCTTATTGGGGTTGTCGTTGTCCAGGAAGCCAAGTGGTTGTTAGACGTAGCGGTCTCTTTCAACTCGCTGTTAAGGAAAGCAGACTTCACGTTCATATGGTGAACCTCCCAAGAGTAATGGGCCGCAATTTCCAGCAAGAGACAGACGAATTCTAACCTTGCCACTGACGCAAATACCTCTTTGAAGACTACTCCTTGCTTCGGGACGTAGCCCTTCGCCACCAGACGGGCTTTGTGCTTCACAACTTCTCCTTTTTCGTTGCGCTTCAGTTTGAAGACCCATTTGAGCTCTATGGCTCAGTGTCCCGGTGGCATATCCTTCAGACTCCACGTCTGGTTCTCGGTGATGGATGTCATCTCCTCCTGCATTGCCTTCAGCCAGCATGAGTTCCTTTCTGCTTTGCCGAAGGTGTTTGGTTCATCTGCACTGATGGCATGCAGTTCAGCCACTTCTTCGAGATCGCGCGCTGCCAGTCCAGGTGATTCACCTCCTCCCACTAATACGTCCATCCTCCGGTACCTGGCCTCCAGATCAGCATCCAGCGTTGAATCCGCAGTCCGTGGTGTTGCGAATTCCATTGGTTCAGGGGTTGCACCTGCTGGCGGCGGTGACAGCTCCTGATGCTGGGCTCCTCCTTCTTCCGGCTCGGTGACGAGGTACTCCACCGTGAATTGATTTGGATTATGGTCTGCCTCGATCACGTCATTCCACTGCCAGAAGGTGCTTTCATCGAAGAGAACATCGCGAGACACGTGAGCTCGCCCCCTACAGAATCATAGAATCTGTACGCCTTTCTCCCGGGCTCATAACCGATGAAGACGACCTTCAGCCACCTAGGATC